CCCACGTCAAATTTAGGTGCCATCTTGGATTTCATTTCCTTAATATATTCAATAAATCCTAATCAAAATTAGGATCCGGCGTCGAAGGACCATGTTACGGATGGGGTTGATTAGACCCTTTCGGAACAGCTTGTTGAATTTAATTCAATAGCTATTCTGAGGAATTGGTATAATCGAGTATGTTAAGGAAAAACCTCGATGTTCTCTGCTTGGTCGCTGGCCTAGTCGGATGGCGGCTTGAAGATCGGATTTCTCAGATCGCTTGGAATTGGATGCTGAGGAAAAATAACTCCAAGAACACAAATAATTAACACTGGCTGCGATTAATAATGTAATATCTAATACTCGGATATATACACAAACCTAATACGGACAACACAAGTAAAACGGCGTACGTGACAAGCGAGAGAGTTTATATCCAAAATATTTTTCTTGCGGGATTGCCAGAGACTAAAATATTGTATAATTCTGACAAATGTCGTCTGTCGCCATCTAAAGTCGTTCTGGCGCGAACAAAAGTTTTTAATTTATTTTCGGTAAATATATCATTGTGAATTAAGTAGTTGGCTATTGTGTAATCATTAACCGTTATTTTTATGCGATTCTTTCCTATTGCTTTAATGTCCATTATTGAATTTGTAAGTTGGGGATATTTTTTAAATATTAGTCTTCTCATTGTCATTTGTTTTAAATTATTCCACAATATCATACATTGTTACATACAAATACGATTCAGAATAATACGTCCAATTCAAAATCCAATAGTACAGTTTTATGCACTATCAATAGCAACACACTCGCACATAATACAACTATATTGCCGACAGCGGTAACGCAGGTTTCTACCAAAAAGAAAAATACTTATCATTTTCGGAATATTTTAAATTTGTATATTTATTGGGGACTTTTTCTTGAACACTATCAATATTCTGATTATTTTCGGATAATTGTTCACATTTCTCCATATTACTCGTATTTGTTTTATTCACCATTTCATTATCAAATTCATTTAAATTATATGACCATTATCGTTAAAAGAATTTGTTCTAATCGAGTTTTTTTAATATTTCTAAATTAATTTTCTTCTTTCCGTCTGTTTTTAGCGTTTTAATAGCTTTACTTTTATTGACGATACTATTTTTACACTCAAAGCTTTATTACATAAATCAATTTCTTGTTTATTATTAATAATTTCCTTAATTGCATTATTTTCACTACATTTTTGTGATGACTCAAGGCCATCGAATAGGATGCATTCATTGCATTTGCCGCATTATACACTAATAGATCACTTCCATTGATTCCCGGTACCGCCGTAGCCCGACATCAGGCAACTTTGATGTCAAATTTGCACTTGAGGTTATAGATTTCAAATATAGCCTCAAGTGGAAATCGCCTCTCGTGGGTATAGTTGCATCTATAAATAGTCAACAAATACTTCGAGTATAGAAAATTAGTCAAACCTGGACTGGACAACTACTGGGTTGCCATCCATTCATATAATAATAAAATGTCAAAACAATTACTCAATGTCTCAAGTGTGACAGATTGTAATTACAAATATAGAAAAAAAATATCACTTCCATTGTTATCTTGCGATAACAATCTACCGTTTTTCCCGTACCGGGCCCGATTCCATTTGTTTCTTCGATCTTACCTGTTCGACGATCTAAACTAAACTGTAATAACTACTTCAAAGCGGCAAAATATTTTTGAACAACGTTTTCCGAGTCAGCTAGTATATAAATATAAATATATATAAATATAAATATATATATAAATATATATATATATATATATATATATATATATATATATATATGATAAGGGTTTCTTTTCAGAACAATTAATCTAATAAATAAAAAACAATAAGTTTTTTTGTAGATGTTTAATTACGACGTTTCGGAACTAAGTACGTTCCATCATTAGGTTCTACTGTTAAAACAATATTTAAATATAGTATAACAAACGAATCAAGAATAATATTTAAATGTAGAATAACAATATTAATGATGATAGTTACAAAATAATTAAAAAATATAAAGAATGGATTTTGCATTTTTTTCTTAAAAAATAAAGTATGAAAAAATGAAAAAATGTAATAACAATAAAAAAACAACAAATAAATTGAGAAGCAACTAGCTGTAAGTGGAATTCTGTCTGAAGGCAATTAAGACCGATATTTTTTTCTTTATTTTGACATATTTTGGAAGATCTGAACTTTTTTCCAAAGCAATCGTACTGCTTTAACTGCATAGAGACAAAATATAAAGCGCGTAAGCGCCGCGTCTCTGTCTAACGGATAAACATTGGTACGGAACCCATAGGAATGTAATAGTATGTAATAGTAGTAATGTTATAGTAATGGGCCGATTTATTTATAATTAACTTCCCGTGGAGCAAGTTATAGTAATCGCAAAAAAAATCGAAATTATTTTTTTTATATATCTTTGCGTTTCAAACCCTTCTGAACATTTTGGCCTACCTTTGAAAAAATGGATGTATGTGTGTGTGTGTGCGTGTATGTGTGTGTGTTCGCATTCAAATTTTCGTCGACGATTTCGGGTACACGGATGAAGCGATTTGACTAATTCTAACTTAATTAAATTTGACTAAGTATAAATTTTGTTAACATTCCTATGGGCTCCGTACCAGTGTTTATCCGTTAGTCAACGATGTGGCGCTTACGCGCTTCGATATTTAGTCTCTATGCATTTAAAGCAGTACGATTGCTTTGAAAAAAAGTT